ACCCAATCCTGCTTCCCCCCCGATTCCCCCTTTCCTCCCTCCGCCCGTATTCCCGCCCCCCGCTGTGCCCCGTTAGTTATCGAAGCCCTATCATCTAGCTAATCTATCTCCTTTCAAAATACTTTTATATCAATCTACCTTTAAAAAAACTATTAGTCCCTTTTCAAAATTTCTTTTTGAAATACGTTGGAAATAAGTAGTTAATTTTTCAAATTTCTTTAAATACTTCCTCTTTGAAAATTCTTTACAATTTAAAGCTTCCCTTTTTTGAAATTTTAGGATGGAATTTATGTATTTATAATAATAATAATAATAATAATAATAATTATGATTATAATTATTATTATTATTATTATTATTATTATTTCTTTTTCAAATTACTTTGTACTATTTTTGAAAATACGTCCCAATTAATTTGTTAGTTCCACAAAATCTTTTCGAGATACTTTAGAATTAAATCACCATTTTCACAAATTTCTTTGAAAATCTTTTCCGTTTGAAATTATCCTTCTCACGTTTAGAATTAATCCTTTCCTTCAAAATTAATTATTATTATTTTTTCCAAAATTTCAACGAAATTTTTTAAAAATCCACTTCCGAATTCTTTTTTTATAATTTGAAGATATTCTAAAATTTCATGTGAATAAATTTTGAAATAAATTCAAATTTATTTTCTTCCAATATTTTGAACAACGAATTTTGTAAATCTCTCCTTCGAATCCTTCAAAATTTTGTTCTACCCAAATTAATTTCGAACAAATAAAATTCCCTACTTTCCAAAAATGTTGTTTTTGGCAATTATCTTTATTTTTAAATTTATTGATAAATAAATAAGGGATTGCGCCCCCCCACCTCCACATGCCACCACTCCAAACCAAAAACTCCCAACGCGCCGTTGCCGCTGCCGCCGCCGCCACCGCTGCTGCTGCATCATCCACATCCGATCAGGCCGCGTCCTCCACCCCCTCTTCCCTCGACATGATCGCATCCTCCATCAACATGTCTCACATCCGCACCGACTCGGTCGATAGAAGCTTCAACACCCTCGCCCAGATCGTTTCCCGCGAAGTGGAAATCCCACACCTCCCGCCTCCTCGACAATGCCGCCAAATGGTGGATGGCTGAAGTCAGCTACCGTCGAGCCTTCGGAGGACCATGCCACTCCTTCCTCCAATGGGCCAACCTTCTCACTGCCACCTTCCGCCCCCAGAAAACCATTGATGACTACCTTGAACAATTCTGCCACCTCCGTCGGTCCGGTCCCACGGACTGCTTCGTCCAATACGTCCGCTCCCTCCGCCACCACCTCCCCACCACCGTCATTCCCGACTTTGCGTTCATCTCCCGTATCAAACGAGTATGCCACAAAGACCTTGCAACCGCCCTTGCCCACGAACCCGACATGCCCCTTGCAGACCTCCTATCTCGCATGCTTCACCACGATCGAGTCCTCCACCCCCATCACCAGCCCGCGCCCTCCCGCACCCGCTTTTTCCATCACATCACCCTTGAAGACACCACCTCCATCCCTTCCTCGGATGAGTTCACCACACCTGACCCCGACGCATCTTTCGATTCACTCGACGCTTCATCCCTCACTCCCGAGGAACTCAATGTCGTCCAATTCATGAGAACGGAGCGTAGAGATCGCAGCTCCTGTCCACCCTCATCTACCCCACCCTCCCACCTCAAGAAACTCACCACTGAGGAGCGCACCTACCTCCAAGCATACGGGTTCCGTTGTCGCCAATTGGGGCACCAACAAACCAACTGCCCCAACACCGCACGATTCACCTGCCAGTCCGCTTCCACTCGACCCGCAACCTCCGCATCACCGCCCTCGGCAAGCGTGGGTCCCTCATCAAGAACACAAACCCCAGGACATTGTCTCGGCATCGACATCGCGTCTGTCGGCCCACCAATTGGTGACGTACTCCGTCCCACCGATGGCTGATCTGGCATCGACAATTCGTCTGCCTCCCCCTTCTCCGGTGACGCCCCCTCCACCAGACGACTCCTAGGCGTCACAAACGCATTCCACTGCCTCATGTTCCTCTACCCTTCTTCCAAACCCATCCACTGTCACCTTCTCCGATGTTGTTGAGGAACAAGCCCGACACGATCGGCTTGTCCGCTTAGGCAACGAACAACGCCACATCAACACCATCATCTCCACCGCCAACTCATCTCGTTACCACCTCAAATTCATCGCCGNTCAACACCATCATCTCCACCGCCAACTCATCTCGTTACCACCTCAAATTCATCGCCGCCACCCGTGGTGCGTCTACAACTAAGTTCCGGGCCCTCCTCGACATTGGAGCCACCGGTAACTTCATCACCGACGCGTGTGTCCACAAAGCCGGTCTTACCTCTACCGGCTATGACTCCYCGATMACGATTCGCCTAGGGGACAAAGACACCGCCGTCGTAGTAGACCGSACGGTTCCCGAGACCAYCATGACCRTCGGAACCCTCCGCAGTCAGGTCTCGTTTGATGTCATGCACTTGATGTGCGACATCGTCTTAGGAACCCCGTGGCTGGACCGCTACATGCCATACGCATTCCACCCCAACTTCCTTGGCCTCACCAACCCCCCCGACACAACCATCTACATCCCCTATCTCCCATATCCGACCTCCCAAGGCTCCGTCACCCTGCACCAATTCCTCCACATGGCTCGCCTAGACCCCGACTCTGCCTACTACTGTCTTGTCCTTGATCGCGAAATTCCTGAGGACCTACTCCCGACGGACAAACCCGATCAAGCCGCCCCCTCCAACCCCGCCATCACCTCAATCCTCGATGAGTTCAAGGACGTCTTTCCTGAGTCCTTACCCGACGGACTACCTCCGGATCGTGGCATATTCCATACCATCGATTTGGAACCCGAACATTCTCCACCTTGCCGCCCTCCATACCAACTTTCAGTCCCTGAAGCCGAAGAAATGAAGCGGCAACTCGGTGAACTCCTTGAAAAAGGGTTCATTAAGCCAAGTTCATCCCCCTTCGGAACCAGCTGCCTTTTCGTCAAGAAAGGTAGAACTTCGGAACTCCGCATGTGCACAGACTACCGCGCCTTGAACCAGATCACGATCAAGAATAAGTACCCCCTACCTCGGATTTTCGAGCTCCTTGATCGTCTCTGTGTAGCCAAGTACTTTACCTAGATTGACCTTCACATTGGCTTCCACCAGATCCGTATCCGCGAGGAGGACACCCACAAGACTGCCTTCCGCTCTCGGTTCAGGCACTACGAGTTCCTCGTGATGCCATTCGGACTCACCAATGCCCTCGCTACCTTGCAATCTACCATGAACCACATCTTCCGCAACCTCCTCGAACTCAGTGTCGTCTACCTTCATGACATTCTTGTCTTCAGCCCCACCTTCGAGTCCCACCTTCAGCACCTTCGCCAAGTCCTTTCGATCCTCCGAGAGCAAAAATTCTATGCCAAGCTCAACAAATGTACGTTTGTCGCTTCGAGCGTCGAATACCTCGGCCACATTGTCTCCGCTGAAGGCATCCGTATGGACCCCTCGAAGGTCACAACCCTCGTCGAGTAGCCCACACCCAAGACCCTCCTTCAACTCTGTTCCTTCCTCAGCCTTGCCAACTTTTCCGAGATCTTTTACGATCACCGCGAACTCACCCGCAAGGACGAGCCCTTCCATTGGAACGATCGCAGCCGACACACTTTTGACTTACTCAAGCAAACCATCACCACGGCCCCTGTCCTCAAGATCGCCGACCCCACTCGCCATTTCTATTCAGCACTGACGCCTTCGACTTCGCCATTAGAGCCGTACTATCCCAACATTTCCACCTCGACACCGCCGAGACCCTCTCCATCAAGGACTCGCCCACTCACCTCGAGGTTGCACCTGGCGAATACCGCATCGCCTCCATGAGCAAGAAGCTCCNCGACACCGCCGAGACCCTCTCCATCAAGGACTCGCCCACTCACCTCGAGGTTGCACCTGGCGAATACCGCATCGCCTCCATGAGCAAGAAGCTCCTTCCCGCAGAGATGAATTACCCCTCCAACGAGAAGGAACTCCTCGTCGTGATTCACGCCCTCACAGTCTGGCGCCCGTACCTCGATGGGCAATACTTCACCATCCGCACTGACAACACCATCGTCTCCTCCATCCTTTCAAAGAAAGATATCACTCCACGCGAAGGCCGCTGGCTAGACTTCCTTGCCCAGTTCACATTCACCATTTGCCATACCCCCGACAAAAGCAACCCCGTTGCGGATGCCCTCTCTCGACGACTCGACCACAATCCCCCCGAGAAAGTCTACGCGACCATGACTCATATCCAATTCCTTCCATCACTTCATCATCGATATACCCAAGGCTCTCTCTCCTGCTCAGCCTTCGCCACCATTTACAACAAGCTTCGCGATGTTGACCCAGTTACGGACTACTCCCTCCACAACAACCTCATTTACATCGATACCAAAGGCACTCGCCGACTTTGCATCCCCGACGCACGAGGCCTCCGTACTCAGTTTTTGGCCGAGCACCAGGACGCCAAGACCGCAGGACATCTCGGTTTCCATAAAAACTTCGACACCATCTCCCGCTACTTCTACTGGGCTTCCCTACTCGTCGACGTCAAGGCATACATTCGCTCATGCCCCACGTGTCAAGTTGTCAACCACTCGAACTGGGCCAAGCCCGATAAGCTCCAATCATTGCCCATCCCAACTCACCGGTGGCAGTCCATCTCCATGGACTTCGTGTGTGGCCTCCCCAAGACCGACTGCTTGCATGATTGCATCTACGTCATTGTCTGCCGCTTGACCAAACGTGCCCACTTCGTCCCTTGCAAGACCTCGCACAGTTCCAAAGACGTCGCCACACTCTTCTTCGACCATGTTGCTCGCCATCACGGCCTCCCTGAGAACATCATCAGTGACCGTGATCCTCGCTTCCTCTCACAATTCTGGAAACMCCTCTTCACGGCCTACGGAACCACGGTCAAGTATAGCACTACATTCCACCCACAGACCGATGGACAAACAGAGAAGATGAACGATAGACTCCAAAGAATCCTGCGGAAGTATTGTCATCCACACCAACACGATTGGGATCAGTTGCTCACAGCCGTCGAGATTGCCTACAACAACGTCGTCTGCCCTTCCACCGGCATGTCCCCATTCTACCTCGTCCTGGGCTACAACCCTCGCTTGCCCTCTGACTTCTTGCTCCCTTCGCAGCTTAACCCATCTACCCCATGCTTCTCTCAATGAATGAGTAGCAACAATGAACAAACTCCTGAGAGAAGCCTCCGAAGTCATTGAACGAACCCAAGATTAACAAGCCAACAAGACTGACAAACATAGACGCGACGTGTCATTCAAAGTAGGGGACAAAGTCTGACTCTTTGCCAAACGCTTTGAACCCGAACACGGCTTGTCCAAGAAACTCTCCAACAAATGGCTCGGTCCCTTCCCCATCATTGAACAAACCTCCCCCGTCAACTACAAACTCCAACTTCCCCCTGACATTAGTCGTGTCCACCCAGTCTTCCATGTCGAGTACCTGAAAGAATACCATGAATCCCCGCCCCAGTTCGCCGACCGCCCATATCCTAGACCTCCACCAATCATGCTACCCACAGGCCCTGAATTCATTGTCGAAACCATCATCGGCCGACGAACCACTCAGGTATCTGATCAACCGGAACCAATCACTGAATACAAAGTCAAATGGACTGGATACCCCGACGAAGAATCTACATGGGAACCTCTCTCTAATCTTAAGAACGCGATGAAACTTGTCCGCGCCTATGATCGTGCTAATCCTATGTCCTCGATACCTATATAACTATGGCATAAACCCTGCTACAACCTCGCAACCTCGCTCTACACACACCCTTGAACCCAGTCCACCCTCCCCTTGACCTTCATTCCTGATGTCTGATCTGCCCTTGCCTTCGCCTAGCCTTGTCCCATCTGTCCTCTCCACTACCTTGTCTCTCTTGTKCAATGCTTGTGAACCTGCGYGACGCCGGCGATAAAGGATCTAATGGCAAGCGCACAAGGACGATGGCCTGCTGCCTCACTGTTCATGGAGATTATGCAGCTGGTTTGGCCACCATGCTGTTTCATCGACTGGCATCCCGACTCGCAGACTTATTGGAGCAGCAACTTGTGACATGGATCTTTGCATCAGTCTGCAACTTCCTTGCTTCCCAGATCAGACCTCATTGCAGTTCATGTACCGGACGCACCCTAGCACTTGGACTTTGACATTTGAACTACTACTACGCTTCTTGGACTTCTACCTATCGCAGCCGCTGAAGACCGCTTCTACCACCTACTCCGAAGGCCTGTTCAAGACCGCTGCAGACCCCCTTTCAAGACACTTGGACACTTTGTTCCTACATGAGATTCTGCCTCCGACTCCTTCGGACACACCAGCCCTTGCATCCTGAACAAACATTTTCATTTTTATTTTTCCTGACTTTGACAACCCTGTAGAACATCATTAGCAGATCCTTGTTTTCCTAACCATTGTTCCCCGTACCCACTAAAACATCAATAGACATCCCCTGTTCCCCTAACCATTGTTTCTCTTACCCACTACAACATCAATAGAAATACCCTGTTTTCCTGAACACCATTTCCCTTACCCAGTAGAACATCAATAGAAGTTCCCTGTTCCCTGAACTCTGTTCCCCCTTAACCTATAGCAAACCATGCAGTCCCCTTAGTTCATCAGTAGGACTACCCTGCTCCCTGCCGTCCCCTTAGTTCATTTATAGGAGTACCCTGTTCCCTGCAACCCCCCCTAGTTCATCAGTAGGACAACTCTGTTCACCGGTACCAAACCCTGTTCCCTCCTAATCCCGCAGCCCATGCCACCCACATTATACCCCTCTTCCCTTTCGACTTGTGCACGAGTGATCGGCCCCGTCCCGTCCTTCGCAGATTTCAGCAGTGCGTCATGATTTTTGGCAGCCGGGACGTTCCCTTCTAGAGGGAGGGGATAGTGTTACGAACTCCGGTAGGGCTCGATCCCTGGTCTATCTTTTTGCTGTTTCGGCTGCATCCCATTTTCGGCCTGGCACCCTTTTTCCAAACCCCTCCTTTGGTACCGTAGGATTTTGGACAACTGGCGCCATGCTGCAATTTGGGCGCTACTTTCAAATACCGCATTTTTCAGTTCTGCCCTTGGGGCTTTTGCAGAAATGCCCCTTGTACGGTACGTGTCACCGGTACTTATATCGGCTCCCCGTACGGTACGGGGACCATTCTTGTACCAGTTTTCTCCTGCTGTACTCGTACTCAGTGTGACTTGCTGTTTCGGCATTCGGAATCCAAGACTTCGACTTTGTGCCTTGCCACTGTGTCTGCGTCCGACCCTCAGTCGTGTCAAGTGAGTGAGTGTGTGTGTGTGCTCTCAGTCTCCCCCTCTCTCTCCCTTCTCCCTCAGCTCTCCCTCAGCCTCGCGCCCGTCACACACACTGAGTACAAGTACAGTAGCTGAAAACTGGTATGAGACTGGTCCGCATACTGTACGGGGAGCCGGTATAAGTACTGGTGATACGTACAGAACTGAAAAATGCGGTATTTGAAAGTGGCGCCCGAATTGCAGCATGGCGCTAGTTGTCCAAAATCCAACGGTACCAAAGAAGGGGTTTGGAAAAAAAGGTGCGAGGCCAAAAAGCAGGATGCAGCAGAAACAGCAAAAGGATAGACCAGGGATCGAGTCCTGGCGGAGAGTGTAACACAAGTGGTCTAGTGCGTGTCTAAGGGCATATAACTGTCATTCGTAGGTAGAGGTGGCTACGTTCTCGCTAGGTAGCCTGCAAGACATGAATTTTACGGGTGTATAGCCGTCTCCACCATTCTGCTGAATCGGACTGGCATAACTACAAACTCATAGTGGCAATAGCGAGTCCTGAAGGTTGTCTTATGCTGGTCTTCCGACTGTACCTCTATCTGATGGTATCTGGACTTCAGGTCTATCTTAGAGAAGTGCTTGCATCACTGCACCCTGTCTAACAGGTCATTTATTCGGGGCAGCAGCTGTCTCTTATACACATCTAGATGTGTATAAGAGACAGATCTTAGAGAAGTGCTTGCATCACAGGTCATTTATTCGGGGCAGCAGTTCAACATTCTTTATTGTGATTGCATTCAAACCCCGATAGTCTATGCACATCCTCAACTCACCTCCCTTCTTAGACACAAAGAGAACCGA